GTGTTGTTGTCCTCCTCCCCTTGTACCCGCCTATCTCAGTTTTTTGGGGTTGCAGCCATGTAGCTAGGGTAGTTGTTATGTTGCAGGTACTACTTATACTGACCAATTCTTTATCTAATGTCTCTGGGTCACCACTTATGACTTTTGCTCGGTGTTGTAAGTAGCAGACAATCCCTCTCTTTATGCTGTATGGATGGTGGGAGTTGAAATTGAGATACTGTCCAGTGAATGTCAGTTTACCGTAAACCGACATTCACTGGACAGTACCTCAATTTCACCAGTAGTCCAAAATAATTGTTTCAAAACTAGATATATCAAAATTGTTGGATGTATGGAGACAAATGAAAATGTAACCCCCTTCTTGAGTATTCCCCCCTCCCCATGGATTATTCCAAGTGAAGGTGTTATATTGCACATTTGAATCAATCCACAACAAAGGGAAAGGTGTTCAAATATAAAATAGTTTTATTTTAATGTTTTCCAACTAAATTTTTTTTAGTGTGTATGAATGTTCTTACAATTCTTGTTTGTTAAGATGAAAAGAAATATGATTTCTTCATATTTAAGTGTGAGAAAAAAAAGTGGGGGGCAAGGAAGAAAAGTGTCAGTGTAATGTAGCTTAGTGGGGAAGACAGGTGAATGAGTAAAGAAATCTCTTATGCTGCAGTCATCAACTTTTGTCATATGTATTTCCTTACTGCCTTGTCTTATCTAGAGACTTTGCTTATACACTCTTTAAAGGGATCACAAAGCATTTCTTGTCAGCAAAGCAACCAACCATTGGTCAAAAAATGTTAAACATTTATTTTTAAAGGATTAATTTATTAACCAGAAGGATGTGTAAATCCTTTGACTCAGAAATTGTTTCTTTGACATTTGGTGTTTGACTGACTTAATGTTTATTTCTATCTTTGCCACACACACACACACACTATTTGCTATTGGTTTGCAAAATAGTTTGTCCACCCATACCAATTTTGGCAATTCAATTTGATCTGATATGTGTTTTAATCAAGGAATGAATGAAATACAGAACACCAGCAGTGCAATAATCAAGGCATTGATATTTGTTTAAAAACAAATTACCTTTAACCTTGTACAACCAATAGTTTAAGAATATTTTTTTTATTCTATACGCTCTTATGAAACCTAGTAGAATGAATAATTTTATTTTTTATACTACTTCAGAAGTATAAAAAAGAAATTAAGAACTAATTAAATGATACTTTTGAGTTTAATTCATTTTTTTATTTTTTATTTTGTTTTTTTACTTGCTTGATGTCATTTATTTGCACACAATTTTTTTTTTTTTTATTCTGAATTTAAGAGTTATTATATATTACTCTTCCAATAGAGAAGAATAGACAATCATAGAGCTAATTTAAAATTGTCTTTTTTGAACTTCCATACAAAAAAATAATCTAACAGTTGCTAAAATTTTAAAAATTATTTTCTTTTAAAAACGGTTCAAAACATGGCATTAAACTTTACATTCATCAATTCTTCAGACATGTTTTTATTTAATAAAAAGAACTCTTATGGCAAACAGTAATAGGATAAATTATAAAATTGCACTGAAATATTACAAGTAATTAAAAATAAATATTCAGTGTAAATTTTTTTTTTTTTTTCCTTTTGGGCCCAATCTGAAAGTATTGGGTAAAAATAGAAAACCATGCTGCGAAGTAATAACAAAAGCAACACTCACAACACAGGAGACACAGGTCAAGTATCATAAATTGCTTATTGACAAAAAAAAAAAAATGTTAAGATTGTTAGGGCATAATGTTCTGAAGATATGAATATTTACATCATTAACAAGGTATGAAATAAGGAAAAAAAATTATTCATGCACATTGTAACAAATCAAATTTTCCTCTCCATTAAAAATAACATAAATCAAATTAAATTTGAGGGGCAGAAACACTCTTAAAAACAAACAATATTACCAAAGTGGATGTAAATATAACAGGAGAAAGTTATGGTAAAAGGATTTATTCTCCCATTTATATTTCCCCTATTATGGGCATTATTATATCCATGATATAATAGCACCATAGTTCAGAGACAGAATGGAATGGCTGAAAGGAAAATGAATGACAAATATGCTTTGTTCTTAGAGACTTTTATACCAGTATGACATACACAAAATTATATATACACACATATCCCATGCAGAGAAAAAAATATATTTACATAGCAAAGAGGAAGGGTCTTATATATATGAAAATTTTTCTGTGTTTCTGGAGAAGCCATTTTTTAAGACTCCAGATTCAAATGGGCTGGATTCATCTACTATGTCCCAGGCAATGATTCTATGAAGATGAAATGGCAAGTCGTAGGTTTTGCTAAATAGTTTCTTTCTATATCTGGGAAAGATATATTTCCAAAGGGAATGGCACCATGGACATGTAAACTGTAGCATTTGCTGGAGGAGGCAGATTTAGCCTTGGCCCAGGTTAAAAAAAAAATAAATAAAAGCAACCACTTGGTTAGGCTGTGTAAATAAACTGAATGACTGATCACTTTCATCACTATGGAGTGACATTATTAAGCATGTCACATTACTTTTCTCCACCAAAGGGAGATAATCGCCTCTACATCCCTACATAAAGTTTGTTATAAAAATAGGTAAGTTCCTGAAGATATGTAAACAAAAGCATTAATGCAGAGTATATACAATATTCTTCATTTATTTAGAGGCTAAATTCCCCAAAAGTTCCAAAGATAGAAAATGGAATAGTAAGAGAAACATTTTTTTTTTTTTTTTGGAAAGAGGCCTTCCTGTATCATATTTGGATGAAAAATTAACTGGGCTTTAATACTTAGTAGCTGAATGTGACTGTGAATTTGGTGTTTCTGGAATCACTGGTAATAAATCAGGTTTGGATCCAGGATATTCACTTTTCCTGCAGAGCCAGGAATTGAGGCTGGGATTGACAACATGACCTGAAGGTAGAAATTTTTGATTCCCTTTTGTAAGTTTTTCAGTTTCCTAAGTAGACATCACAGGGTTCTTATGATGACATCTTTAAAGAAAGTGATTGGCTGGGTGATTTTGATACTTAACCAGGATATTTCCAGAATGGCTGGGTGTTGATTGGCTGAAAGAATAATGTCAAAACCTCAGGCAGCCAATAGGAGTCACATAGGCATACTGCTGAAAACATCAAAGGGGTCAAATGATACATGATATGCTAAGAAAATCATGACATCAGCAAATTTTCTTCAATAGAAGCTATAAGTCACATTAATTTGAAATCAATAAAAAATATTTTTATAAAAGAAAATGTGCTTTATTAAATTATGGTAGCACCAACTGTTAAAAGAAAAAAATTATTTTGAGATTTATTGAATTATTTTTGGAAAGGCTTGGGATGGATTTTTTTTTTTTTTTTTACTGAAATTCAGAGATTTTTCTTTATGTAATCGTTAAAATAAAAAAAATAGTTTGTGATCCCTCCTCCCACTACACACGAGATCTTGAAAGCAAGGGTGGGGGACTAACCACAAAGTTTTCTAATAAAATAACCCATTCACCATACAATTCATTCATTAATTACTGAACATTTTGTTTAAATCAGATAATTCCTTGATTTTTTACAAATTTTTAAAAACAGGAATAACCATTTTTTGCTTTCATTTAAAATAAAATTGAATCCATTTTGATGGTAGCTGCATAATGACATATATTGCTGATTATTGAGAAGATCCAGACATACCACCTGGCCTGCCAGGGATGTTTTCATCACCTTTCAGTTATGTCTCTGTCTTCAGAGGACAGAGGCACAACTGAGGAAAATAACACTGTAAGATGCTCAGCCCTGGAGAACAGATGCCCAAGGCTGCACTCTCTCATTCCACTAGAAAGAGGGACTGGTGCTCACACCAAGGCTAATGCATCAGTTGCAGGGGCTCAGGGAATTTTTGTTCTTGGCCCAAGTGTACATGCTTGGGTTCCCCACATTAAACCCAACATCCCGTCTCAGTAGGGAGGCCAGAGTAAATATTCATACAACCCCATCCCAACCTTAAGCAATAGAATAAAATATGGGATGTCTTTGTTGTGAAAAAGAAATCGGTCAGATCAGAGACACTGTGGTTGAGCAAACAGACCACAAAGTGTTGAAACTAGGAAACCAAAAACTTTTAAATGCCAGGACTTTGCACAGTAAATGATAAAACTGAGGTACATGAAAGTCAAGGATGTACACATAATAATAGTGTGTACAAGGAAGAGTACCACAGATACTTGGCAAAATTTCATCTGTCTAGCTATAGTACCTTTCCTTAAGGAGTGGACTGGAGTGTCCCCAAAAGGGGGAAATGTCGAAGGAGCTTAAGCATTTTTTCCAAGGTATTATTGCACTTTTAAACCAACTTTAAACCTCAACCTTGTGTCACATCCAGTAGCGACATAGGTGCACTGAAAAATCCACTCCTTCGGGAGGGGTTTGGGATCATCACCTGGTGCCTGAGGCGTCCACAAATGGAATTTTACTTGAGTAATTTTATTCGGTTTTTCTGAAATCCCACATTAAACTGGCCTTGTATCATTCATCAACGTTGCAACATGGGCGCACGGATGACAAGATTTCATTCCTCCAGTAAGTGAAGGGAACTGGGGTCATTACCCGCTGCTTGAGGCATATCAAAGAAGGGGAAGTGCTGAGGGAGCTTGAGCAATTTTTCTATGTTATTTGCCGTTTTAAAATTGACCCTGTGTCATGTTCCGTAACGACGTGACCATGTGCCTAAATACCTAATTGGCAGGATTCAAAGGTCCAAACCAAAACTAAGACACTAGTGTTGTGTTAGGATCAACAAGAAAGCTGTTTTCAAATGTTTATCCACTTTATTTTTAAATTAAAAATAAAATCTGCATCTACCACGACGACGACGACGGCAGTTTAATAATCATTACCGGTGTTGTTAGTTAGTTGAACTGAAATGATGCGACACTCTTCTTCTTGATTGTCACTTTGTCTTTTTATCCCTAGCTTTCTTTAGACATGACAAGCTTAAACCATTTTTTACAACATCGCCCCGGAGGAAACCAGTATCCCTTGACAATATTAGACGGTGGGACTGGCACGGAATTGATTCGTATGGGTTTTACAAATATTGATGTAAGTGATGTTTGCATTATTCCGTCAAGTCAATTTTATTAATTATTTTATACCACGTTTTTTCGGTTCTATTTTTATTAATTCTTTCTTTCTTTCTTTCTTTTTTTGTTAAAAGACTTTAAAATGCAATAAAATAGCATTTTCACTGAGTATAACATTATCAAACAGAAAAGAAAGCTGTAGTTTTATTTTTATTTATTGCAAAGTAGTAAGTACCGATACTTTTGAAAAAAAAAAAAAAAAAACTGATAAAGATTCGGTTAAGAAATTAAAATTAATTTTTTCTAAAAAAAATCTTGTTTTCTACGTAGTTTGTGCAGCTCTTTAAATAAAATGACACTTCTTTTTCTTTAGGACTCTCTTCATTTTTTAAATGTTTTAAAAAAGAATGAAACGAGTAATGTGGTTCTAAAGTGGGTGTTCTATTTACAATATAAATACAATACTAAAATGGACCCTGTGTTTGTGCCCAACATCGTAACATTGTATAACTCCTGTTCATTCTGAAAGAAAATAATGCTTTTTATATTAAATTATGGAAGAACCAATTCACAAAAAAAAACTATTTTTTGTTTTTTCTTTTGTTGAATTATTTCTGGTTAATTTTCATTTTTTTTTTTAATAAGGCCACTTGATATTGCATGAATTTTTTACTGAAATATCTTCAAGAATTTTTCTTTGTAACTTAAAAAAATCAAATTAAAAAGTACACACGAGATATCGAGAAGGGGGTTGAAACAGATGCCCCCCCACCATATTTCCAAAAGTTTTCCTAATAACCTATGTAGTATTGAATATACAATTCATTGATTAATGAATAAAAGTTAAAAGTACTGAAAATCTCGTTTGAATCGGATAATTCCTTGATTTGGCAAATATTTTTTATTTTTAATGATAGCGATGTTTTTTGCTTTCATTTCGGGGAAAAAACGCATCCATTCTATGACTGATGATAGAATGTTAAATTAAATTTTTAATTTTCTTTTCACCTTAATTAAAAACCGGGAGTTTAAATCGCAACAAATTTGGTAATATTAAAGAATAACAAACAAAACATCACAACATAATGGGATTGTTTTCTGATATATGGAAGACCAACAGTGTAACCAGTTAACAAGATAAAAAAAAAATTAAGGATGAATTGGATAAATTAAACTAATAAAATACGAGAGTTGTTTCAATGACGTTTAGGGAATTGATTGACAATATTAGTTTAAAAATGCTAAACTAGAGACTTTTATGCCCGCTTTTAGGAAATAATCCAGTTTTTTTTTCCTTTTAGCAACAGTTGTTAGAGATTATTTTTGTGTGGATGTACAGAAGGGAAATAATTCTAATTTCTCGCTGTTAGTAAGTTTTAGAATAAAAAAAATTGTTTAAACTATTGGTTATTTAAATGATTATAATTTTACGGACAAAATAAAAAAATATAAAGGCATCACTTGAATACCAGTGAATAATTAAGAACGGGAAATGAACGCAATCAATTCGATTTTATTTCTTTACCAATCTTGTTCATTTTTTGTTAGTAGCAACTCCGTTAATTTAATTTAATAATCGAGCGATCGATCGCGAATCCCGTGATCCATTAGGGTCGTAGGGTCATCACATGTACTGCATCCGCAGTAGAAATGGTGTTTTTTCTTGGGCAAGCTAGCCTGACGGAGCCCAACCCTCTCCAGGCCGGTTTTGAATTCAGAGTTAAATTCTCCTAGACTGGTTGGCCACCTAAGGCTATAGAACCCAGTCTACTCTGCTATTTGTACCTATCGCTGGGGTAAATACATTTTCTTAACTTCAGAATAATTTTGAAAAGTTACATTGGGTGCAATTATTAATTTTATTTTTATGGCATGAAATATATAAGAAAATAAAAAAATTAAAAGCAGTGAATTTAACTCAAAAATATCATTTTTAATTTTAAAATAATTACTTCTAATGAAAAATAAAATTATTCATTCTACTAAGTTTAATAAAAAAAGCGTAACGGTACTAAAATCTTATAAACTATTGGTTATGTTTTTTTTTTTAGTTTAGTTACATCATTATATCAAGTTAAAAATAATTTATTTTTACATATCAAAATACTAATTTCTTGATTATTGTACTGCTGCTGTTTCATATTAAAAACGTTTATTTTAATTTTTCGCACACTTTTTTTTTTAAGTCAGTGGTGTAATACAGTTTTTAACCTCTGACCCCACATACTACCGTGCGTAAATGCTATTTTCATTAAGTTTTAACTTTTTTTAAGTAAAAAAGTAAGAAGCATTACATTTAGTTTTTTTAAAATCCAGATAATTAATCATTGAATTTACTAAATGACTTTGACTGAAACATATCTTTGACAAATATTGGATTTTTTAAGAGATTTTTAAAATTGTTTTTTACATTTTTCATCTATAATGGCGGTTCGATGAGTGACGAGTGGATAACGTAGCAATGTTTTTAAAATCATAAAATGCCTAAAAACTTACTGAAATTCATTTTTCTTTTAATATGGATTTATTTAGCTTAAGGAAGCCTTTTTTTTTTCTTTTTGCTTTTCTTTTTTTTTTTTTAAATAAAGTCAAAATTTAACTTCAAAGAAAACAAATTATTTATACGTTTTCCCGGTTTCTTAGAAGGTCCGTGGGGGAAGACAAAGGTTTTGATATTTTGGCGAGTTTTTTGTCTGTAAAATTGTAAACCAACCCTTTTTTTATTACCGTATAGAGAGATTCTGTAGTACTCTAATCTTTAAAAAAACAAACTACTATGATAATCGTTAAAGAAAGATTATCAATGAATATTTTTTTTAATTTTTAGGTATTTGGCACTACTAATCCACTGATAAAAATAGGAAAACACTTTTTGTAGATTAGCATTTACCTAACTCTTCTCAAGACTCAACATTTATTTTATTATTATTTTTTTTTTACTATTGTTTTAGAAGCGGGGTCCTGTTTATTTTAAATTTATCAATATTATAAACACTTTATAATATCAATAAACGTAAAATCAATCCCTAACTTTTTACAGAGTTATTGGACCTAGTTGCTCTGAGTATGAAAACAATTTTTATTACACATTTATTACAAAAAGATTTCTTTTAATAACTAACCAACAAACAGATATATACATTTATCAAAGAAAACATTTTTCATAAAGTAATAAAAAAAGTATATATACTATTTATTCTACATTTAACATAATTATTTAACCTCACCACCATACATGTGTGCTTTCAAAAAAAATTCCCCCAACAAAAAAGATTTTTTTTTAAATTTAGAAAATTTCCAGAAAATGCAGATATCATTGATAAGCAGAGTTTCAAATTTGTAAATAACAGTTATGTCTAATAACTCTTTTAAAAATCAGGGATCAATTTTACACTGTTGCAGCTTGGCACATTTTATTCTGCAAACAATATTTGATGAACTCATGTGAGTCCGAATACAAAAAAAAGGTGATGAAACATGAAGTTCAAACAAACAGTATTTAATAAATGTATTAATAAGACTTATTACAGGTCAAGAAAGAAATGAAGTTATGAACAGTTCAATACAATCTTCAGTCTGTGTTTCTAAAGGATTTACATGCCTCATGTCTATTGGAGCATCTATTTGCCACTTTATAAGTCAAAGAGAAAAGAGGAAGAGCCTTTCAAATATCACACAACCTTTGATTATTGTGTGGGGTGGTAATCCAACAAATACTCCCACCAGATTGAAAAGCTGTTTTGTTATGCATGTTTCTAAATGTCATGGCCAATGTACAGTGTGGCCACTTTTTGTTGTTGTAGGAATTTAAATTCTAGGTAAAGGCATGTTTTCTGTTGGATTGCTTTGATTTGTGCTTGTGTGTGTGTGTTTTTTTTTTTTCATTGTAAGCAGGTTTGAAGTGATTAATTCATACTGTGTCTTTCTTTTCATTTGTTTGAATCATGTAATATTTTTCATATCATTCCAACACTTTATGTGAACCTGAATAATTTAGAAATAATGGTTTCTTAATCATGTCATTCCTAAGAAAAATGTACTCACAGTTATGTAGATCTGATGGTATAAAAGATTGTTTAGTCACACATCTAGTGGTTGTAAAAGATAATCTGTTCATCTTGTCTTTTAAGTTCCTGAAAAAGCCTATAGATGAGGTCAATATTTTGTCTACTTCAATGTATTGACCAGGTAAAATCAGTGATTTTTCAAAAAAAAATGCTGTTTGCTAGCATGCAATTTAGGCCTTCTTTCATAGTATTGCAAATTGAGAGAAGGGTAATATGTGGGTTATCTACCTAGTTATAAGGGTCAGTCTTTGTGGCTAATGCAGTTTTTAACTCTGTGGAATGTTTCCACCATTCCATTGGCACAAGGATGATAAGCAGTAGTTCATATATGTTTAACCCTGAGTAGGTTGACAAATTCCTAGAAGAGTGTAAATTGAAACTGTGATCCTCTGTCAGAAGAAATTACATATGGCACCCCATATCTACTAGTTGTCTAGTACAACTTTTGCAATAGTCTCTGCAGAAGTATTTAGAATAGGAAAAGCACCAGGCCATCAACTAAAACAATCCACTACAGTGAGCATATAGGTGAAATCATACACATGGGGGAAGCACCCAACAAAGTCAATATACAAATGAGTGAATATACCATCAGGTCTCTGGAATTTACCAATGGGCAATTTTTATCTTTTGTGAAGTCACTCTTCTTGCCATAAAAATATCTTTCACTTGAGCAAACCATATCTGTTAATCCAATGGGTTGAACGGTAGTAGCTGTTTCAGTCAGTCCTTCTATGTTTAATGTTATTGAGGAAGAATATTTGCCTGTGTTTATCATCAAAGTTGGCATCTTTCTCTAGAAAAAATCCTGTGGCTGTAATAAAATCTTCCTATAATATACTAAATGTAATAAAATCTTCCTATAATAATATACTAAATGTAATAAAATCTTCCTATAATATACTAAATGTAATAAAATTTTCATATAATAATATACTACATATAATAAAAG